GGATGCCTGAGAACTGCCCAGCAGGGAGACTTTGGTCAGCTGAGGTCTGGACTGCAAACTTGCCCGGCTGGCCCACATGATCCCTGCCTGTCCTGGGCTTCCTTCTCTTGGGAGAGTCTTATCTTCAGGGCAACAGGCCACAGTTATCTTTAGAGAAACCCAGGGATGATGCAGAGAATTTTCTGTGCCTTGGACACAAGGTCTGCCCCAAAAGGAGCTGGCCCCTGGCTTCGGCCAGATGGGTTGGGCCTTCACTAAATTCTTACAAAAAAAGCAAAATTAATGAAGAATCATGTGACTGCCTCCCACCTTCTCTGGTCTGCTGGGCTTCGTCCCCACTGACCAAAAGATTCCGTGGCTCCTATCATGGCCAAGGGATGGAAGGTTGATACCACTGGTTACCTTGACGAGTCTTGCTTCTTCAGATGTTGAAGTGTAACACCAGGAAGCCCGCTGAAGCAGGTGTAGAACAGAGAGTAAGCTTTATTTATAGGATGGTAGAACAGACTTCTTCCGGGTGGAGATAGGGGACCCAAAGGTGGAATCTGTGGGATGAGAAAGTCCTGTCCCTTTTAGACATCTAAAGTTCCCCTGTTCTCTTGCATTCTTCTTAGGGAGAAGAATCCTGGTCTTGTTCATTCCCCTCATCCTGCACAGTGGCTGGGGAATTGGTGGAATGGCCGGGGTGAGCAGGTGGGCTGGAAGGGTCTAGGTGGGGTGATAGGCAGGAAGGGAGCTGCAGCCCAGGGGGCTTCGATAAGCAGTCCCTGTCTGCTCAGGAGTTGCTTTTTGGGAGGGGGAGTATCAAAGGGCTTTGGAGACATGAACATTTCATTCTCCCAGGGGCTGTTTCCAATGTCCTGGACTATAATCAGAGTCTATTTTCTCCATCAGACCCGATTTACCTGGCTACACTAACTCCCTGTCTTTAAAGATTTAAAGATGGCGTCTACGTTCCAGAAAGGGAGCAGGAAGAGGGAGGGGGAATGTCTCTCCTAGAGGCGTCGGGTGGGAACCTGGCTTCACCCCATGTCTGTAGGGCCGTCTGCACCTGCCTCCGTCTCTTCCCCCGGGAACTGCCGTACCAATGTTGCCTGCCTTCTGGGAACAGGTTGTGGCTGCTGTGGTGGATGGAGGTGGCCAATGCCCTTTGGGACATGGTCCTAGCACCTGCCAGGGTGAAGCAGCTCCCTAGCCCTCAGGGGCAGGATCATTCAGTAGCCTCCCCTGGTCCCTGAGGGGATGCAGGTACTTCTCAGGTTACCTGCCAGGTTGTCTGCCCAGCCGCACTGTGTCCTGGGAGCCACCCAGCAGGTCCCTCTCTGCTCGGCACTGGTGGTTATATAAATCTGCCAACGTGGTGATCAATGGTGGCACTTTGTGGCTGTCCCCTGCCTCTAGTCAGTGGAGCCCTGAACCCCGCCTCCTCTGGTCTGGGGTCCCACACAGACAGGACCGTGCCCCCGCCCCCCGCTCCTGTTTCCCCTTCTTCCGGCAGTCTCTGTGGTGTCCTGTTGCTGGTTCCTGGAGGCCTCCTGTGTCCATCATTTGAAAGAGTCACACTGGCATTTGACCAGCAAAGGTGGTTCTAGCCTCAGCCTCGATCCACCCCACTCCCGGTCTGCACCTTGGGGCAGCCGCAGCCCAGAGCGCCTGTCCCCGTGGTGGGGACAGGAAACAACAGAAATGTTCCCTCTGCAGCTCCAGATCCAGAGAGTGGAAGGGCCGAGGCCCCTCTGTCCTCTTGGGGCTTGGGGCTTGGTGCTGGGCAGCTGCTCCTGGGTCTCCGTTCTTCTCACGTTGTTCAGCCCCCAGGCTGCGGCTGCTCACCAATCCCAGAGAGCGAGTGTGGAGGCTCCACAGCCAGGCTGTGGGCAGTCTGTTACCATGTGCTCTGCAGCGGCGGCAGGCAGGTGCCATTGTGGGCCACCCTGCGCCACAGCAGGGCAGTGTGGGGACGGGCTCCTTGGGTGTTTGAAGAGCACACCCTTGTTAGAAACACCCAGGAGCCGCAAGAGGAGCCGCAGGAGCTCAGATGCCCGATGGAAAGTGGGAGGCCGGGCAAGCTGTGCTGCACCAGAGTCGCTGCAGAACCTGGCCACGCAGTCCACCTGCTTCTGTCTCTGAGCCAGGCAGCGGCCTGCGTCCTGACTGGAGGACTTGAGGTACAATCTGTGCAGATAGCTAATTTTAACATTGGGATGGGCAAAGGGAAGGGCTATAATTAAAATGGCTACAGTTGGATGGAATTAAGGCTGGATACTGTGTTCTGAAGGGACCACGGGGCTTCCTGTGTCTCACGCTCTTTACAACAGGGATCCCTCGGTTTGTTCCCACAGCAGCAGTGACCCCGTGGGCCAGGCTGTGAGGCTGAGGACGGGGCCACTGTGGCCAGAAGGGGGAAGAAGGCTGTGGGGTGGGGACGGGATGCCTGTCACACTGGTCATCTCTGACAAACCCCTTTGGGTGACAGCCTGGGCTCAAGGAGGGGTCTGTGCGTGGGGTGGGGAGAGCAGCCCTCAGGCCCAGGAGGCTCCTGCCCTGAGCTGGACAGTCCAGAACGCCTGGCCCACCTCTCAGGGAGGCCTCTGGGGGTGATAGCCCTGTCCAGGTCCCCTGAAGGAGGTGGTACCTGGTCCCATAGCTGTTTGGTCTCAACACACTGGATGGTCCAAGGGGCTCCGATGCCAGTCCTGAGTCGGCGTCCTGCAGACCCATGTGGGCAGCCTGGGTCTCTGCCTGCATAGGAGGCAGATGCGGCTCCTCAGGAAAAGGCCAGTGTCTGCAAGTGAGCCGCTAGAGGGTGAGCCCTGTGCAGGCCGAAGCCCAGGTGAGGCTGGTGGACTGCCCACAACCTGGCTGCTCCTTGAAGGGCAGACGGCAAGCGAGGAGCACCCCATGACAGGTCCATGCCAGCCTCACAGGGCAGAGAGCACAGATGTCCCCTCAAGCCCCCAGGGCACTGGGCAGGACCACTGGAGCTGACTGTGCTTTCGGGCCCCCCTGGGGGTAGATAGGAGGGGGTGGACAGACCACTGACTCCTCCAGGAGACACAGGGGCATGGATGGGGTGGGGCAGTGGGGGGTGAGGAGCACCTGGGCAGCACATATCCACCTACTGCTTCCCAGAGGGTCGCTGGGCAGTTGGACATGCTGAGGGCCATGACCGTGGGGTCTTCCTCTTCTCATGCCCCAGGGCTACAGGCTGAGCCCAGAGCCGCGGTGAAGCGTGGGGTTCTGTGCGCTCATCAGCACTGTGCTGAAGGAGTGATGAGGTCGCACGTGCCCTCTCCTGATGGCTCTGTCCCTGGCCACGTGGCTCCACCTCAGCAGCTCGCCTGAGCCAGGCCGACGGGTACCCAGGGCTTCCAGCTGATAACCTCCTGTAGGAGGCTCAGACCAGCTGTGCTGCGCACAGGAGGAGGGTGGCTGTGCGGCCCTGGGCTTTTGTCAGGGTGAGGAAAACACTTGGGGGTGGGCGGCAGGGCGGGCACTGTTTCATGGACACGCTTGAGCCTTTTGAAGACGCACTTAAGTGGATGGACGCTCTGGCAGGTGAAGTGTCTCTCAGTAAAGCTGCATTAAGAGCTGGGCTAGGGTCACAGGGGGCTAGGGTCACAGGGGGCCAGATCTCTGGGCAGGTGGCTGCCTCTAGGATGTGCTGAGGGGCCCAGAGAGGAGAGTGGGAGGTGGCAGGGAGTGCAGAGTGCTCAGGGGAGCAGGGGCCACATGGACCTGGCTGCATTGGGGACGTGCTATTGCTCATCAGAGCCCCACGCTCCTGTGCATCCCTGTGGACATCTTGGGCTACCCCACACGTCCCTGTGATGCCAGGAGATGCTTGGTCAGGGGGCCACTGGGACCCTCCACAGCACGGCTACACTCCTCCAGTGAGGTGCTGGGGTTGCTGGCCATGTGGTCCTGATTCCTGCCATGGTTTGCCAAAGGGCTTGATCCCAGATGATCCTTGTTCTAGAGCTTTTGTGGCCTTATTGTCACACTCATCTATCAGGACAAAATCCCACCCTCCAGGCCCTCACCTAATTTGGTGGCAGGAGCCCAAAGCCAGAGTGGCTGGGATGGTGGGCCCTGCCAAGGAGGTGGCATGGGGTGGGGAAGAGACCACCTCTCTGTGTGTCCTCCTGCTGTACCAGCCCTGGAGGGGTGATCTCGGGCCCTGGACTCCAGACAGAGGGTGACTCTGCTGCTCTAACCCAGTTTGGGGTCCCTTCTTTAGAGGCAGCAGGAGACAGAACTGTGTTGGGGCTGCTGGGAGCCAAGCGGTCAGTTCGAGCACAGGCCTCCTGGGTACCACCCTGAAGGGGACAGTGGGCCCTGGGAAGAGGTGACTATAGGCCGGAAACACAGAGCCTCGGTTACAAGCTGGAGTCTAAACAGGGCGGGTGCCTTAGCCAACTCCCTCCCCGCTGAGCCTGGGCCTCCACGCTCCTGGGACGCGGACGTGGTCTGTGGTTTCATGGACTGTTCTTTCCTGACCCAAGGTCTGGGGAGTCTTCCTCGTGCCCTGGTTTCTGGAAGAGACTCTGAGTTTGTTGTGGGATTCATCTTGAGGCCACTTGGACCTGGATGTTTATTTTCCTCAGTAGTCGGGGGTCCTCCAGCACCTGCCGTACCTGGTCTCTTTCTTACCTGGTGCTGAGCACGTGTGTGTAGAGGAACTTGAGACTACTGTGTCCAGTGAGTCTCAACCCTGCGTGTTAAGCCCCCAAGGCTGACGGGAGATGGCCACCAGGGAGCTGCCACCATGAAGCAGGCATCTCCGGAACTACTCTGCCAGGCCACCACCCCAATGTCTCTAAACAGGGACTTACCTTCCCAGCCATGGAAGCCAGCAGTTGAGGCCTGGGCAGGCTGTGTGCCCTCAGGGATCAAGGGGGTCCTTCCCCCCCCCCCCCCCCCCCCCCGGTGACTGTGACTGTGGCTGATGGCCATGTGGCTGCTCTCTGCTTGCCTCATTGATTCAGGGCCACCACAGCCAGGATGATCTCTTAACTTTATTATACTTGCAAAACACTATTTTCCAAATTGGGCCCTATTTGCAGGTTTTGGGATCAGGATGTGCATTTATGTCTTGAGGTCCACCATTCTATGATGGTGGTTCTACAGCCACCCAGGTCAGTCTCCTGGTGTCCCCTTCCTGCCCCAGCTGGACCCACAGACCCATGAGGATGGGAGGGAATAGCCTCCAGCGGAGGCCCTTGCTGGTTCTTGGTTCAGAGGTGAGGTTGTGGGGATCAGCCTAGCTGCTGGCTTCCTCCAGGGTCCCTGCCTTAGGGGCACAAGGTCTGAGCTCAGCATGACAATCTACTGCTGTCACCAAGGCTGTTTCCTCACTGTTACTGGATTGGAGGAGGCTGCTGCTAGTTTGGCAGTGGGTCCTGTCCTGGTACCAAGGGACGGGCCTGAGCAGGCTGTGCTTGGGATGTTCACAGGGGAGGATGTACCAGGGCAGAACCTGGGATGTACCAGGTACATATGACAGGTATATTGTGGGATGTACCAGGTCTAGACCCACTGCCAAGCCAGACAGCTGCTGCCTGTCCCGGGGGATGCTCCCTGGGCACTGCCTGCAAGGACTGGGCTCAGCACTGGAATCCCTGGGTCCGAGGGGCCCTGTGAGCATCATGGCATCTAGGCCGGGGTCTAGGTGGACACCATCTGCCCTGCTGGCAGGCCTGTCCCTGACTCTGCCAGCAGACTGAGGCACAGGGAGTGTATCCAACCAGTTCAGTGTCCTGGACTTGTGCTACAGCACAACTGTGGTGCCCAGCCCTGACAGGTGACGCCCGGCTGTCTATATCCCTGTCCCCAGCAGGCGCAGAGCCTCCCCTCACTGTGATATCAGCCCTGGCTTGGCCTGAGACCTCAGGCGCCCTCCACTGGCCCTGGGGATGTGGCAGGAGAACTCTGCAGTGATGTGTGGCGGGTCAGTGCAGAGCTGCCTTGAGGCCTTCCAGTGGCCACCGCCACCAGGGGGCCCTCTGGGCTTGGCAGCCTCCACTGCTTCCCCAGGGCTCCAGGCTGCACCAGGCCAGCCCAGAGCCTATGTCTGGAAAACCTGGCTCTGTGCCCTCAGTGTTCATGGGGAGGACGGACAGGCTGCTCACTGTGGGCTGTGCAGCCCCAGGCGGGATAGACTTGAGGTGGGGGATGGCGGGGTAGGGGTGCTCCTGACAAGGTGTGGCCACATCCCAGCAGGCAGGGCTGCGGGGAGAGCGCTCCTGTTCTGGAAGGTCTTGCCAACCACACTCAGGAAAGCTGTCAGCCAAGTGTCTGCAGAGAGGTGCCAGGGAGCTCATGTGTCTGTGATGCTGCCTGCCAGTGGGTACCATCAGACCCTGGTGTCCTGTGGGCCTCCCCTGCGAACATCCCCAAGGCCTGGGCCTGTCCTGTGTTGCCCCAGCACTGGGCTGTGAGGGAAGCAGTATCCACAGCCCTCTGTGGGGCCAGCAGGAGTGGGGGGCCTGGCCCTGGTTGCAAGGGCGACTGAGGGCACTCGGGGCTACATTCTGCCACCTGCTCCCAGGTTGGCAGTGTGTGATCTCTGGGGGCTACAATAAAGGGCCTCACCTGGGGCTTCAAGCAGGAAAGTTTATCCTCCCACTGGTTGGAGGCCCCTGGGTCAGAATTCAGGTGTGGGCAGGGCCACCCTCCGTTAAGGTTGGTGGGAGGACTGTCCTTCCTGCCCTGGTCTCGTCCCTCCTCCTGTCTCCTCTCTGAGCACCTGTCACTGATTTGCAGACCTCCCAATCCTCAATTCTTCTCAAGGACTCTCTTCCCAAATCTCACATCCTGAGGTCAGGGTGGATCTGAATTTGGGGACACTACCCAGCCCACTGCAGTGGCATCATCTGGGGATACTACCGATCCTCAGGTGGAGCTGATGCTCCAGTGAGGGGGCAGACAGTTGCAGGAAGGGCCAAGCTGTGGGGACTTCCCCAGGGGCTGGTGGAGAGCCTGTGCCTCCTGGGCCGGGCGGGTACTGATGGGCCTGGGCCTGGCCCCACCTCTGCTCACAGCAAAGGCAGGAACGGAGCCTGGCTATCCAGCCCTGCAGCTGCGTGGCTGCCCCAGGGCGGACGTTGAGGGACACAGAGGCCCTGGCTACTGCTGGTAGTGCTTGGTGTTCTTCCATCCAGTTGTGAGTGGGGCCATGTGGGGAGAGGAAGCCACTTGACGGAGCCCAGCCCACCCCAAGGAGCAAGGCTGTCCCCTTCTTCTATGCCCAGGCAGCTGCTCCCTGGCTATCAATCCAGGCCATTGAGATGCTAATGTGCCTACCATGGAGGGCACAGCTGAAGGGCTGGCACCAGTGCTGGGGCCCAGGTGCAGCCTACTGGAGCCAGGCGAGGGGCCTGACCTTCCCTGAGGACAAGTGGGTGTTGCCTGCCACCTGGGGGGTATAGTGTGGTCCCACTTGGCCCGTCCACGTGGTGGCAGCCTCCCTGGCTGTCCTGGCAGGTGAGGCTGTGCTCAAGGCACAAGGCTGCAGTCTGCCTTGGGCCTTGCCTGTGCCACTTGAGCTCAGAGCTGACTTTAGGAAACTGCAGCCAAGGACAGTGGAGTTACCAGGGCATGGCACAAGCTGGATGGCAGGGCAGTGTGGAGGGTACGTTCGCCCAGGGCCCCTCTCCCTTCCCACATGTCCAGTGCAAGGCTCCCCGTGCCCAACACAGCAGGCTCTGAGTGACATGGGTTACTGTGATGGGAACACATGCAAAGTCTGAGCCCAGATGATGTCCACAGCAGACATTAGCATGGTCAGAGCCCGGTGGCCCCCAGGCATGGCCCTGGCTTGCAGCCATACAGGAAGGAGGCCGAGTTTTCTGTGTGGGTGCTCTGTGGCAGCGAAAGGCTGGTGCAGCTAGCTGCCCTGGAAGAGTGCAGGGGAGCTGTCTCTGCGCCTGATCCTGTGAGCAGTGTGGCCTTAACTTGCTGCCTGCACACCGGGCCTCTGACTGGGCTGGCAGCTTTGTTGGTCCTCCTGGGGTGTGGCAGTGTCTCTCCTTTCCAGTGACTTTACCCAGGAGTGGCTGTGTGCACAGGTACCGAGGAGGCCGGAGCCTGCACAGAGGGGATCAGGACCATGGCACCTTGGGCCTGTCCAGAGCTGGGTGTAACTGACATAAATGAAACCCACCTATTTTATACCACAGTGGCTTCTGACAAACATACACACTTTCTGGTGTGTCCCCCGGCCCCATCCTTCCTGGGGACCCCTTCTAATGGAAGGACTGTGCTGAGCCAGTGTTGACATCAGATGCTGCCATGGTGTGCTGCCAGCCACGTGTGGGAGAACCCCTGGCTCCTGCTCTCCCTGGCGGATGCCCCCAGGCTGTGCTCACTCCTGGGGAGGCCCTGGGCAGTGCCTGTGTGGCTGTGGGAGTTGCCATCTAGCTTCTGCAGGTGGGTGGTGCCCATTACTCTGAGCTGTCCAGAGCTCCCCTGGAAGAGTCTCCCCTCTTCCTCCTTCTGGGACTTCTGAGATGGTGTGTCCAGGGTCGCCATGACAGCCACATCTTCCCTGGGTCTTCCCCTGACCTAGGACCTGGGCTCATATGGGGGGCAAGTTGCCTACAGTGTTCCCCTTCTCCACTTGGGCCGTCTTCAGCTCTGCTGTGTGGTTGCAGATAAGGCTGTGCAGCTCACTACTTGAGGCCTGCAGGGATGGCCTCCAGGTCAGTGAGAAGTTGAGGCATGGCAGGTGCTGGGAGAAGGGCTCTGCTGTCCCTCAGTTGCATATTGACACTAGGAAACCCTTGGCAAGTGAGGGCCCAGCAGTGCCCAGCAAGTCAAGGCAGGTTGTGGGCTGAGACCGCTGGGTTCCAGGGCTGACCTCATCTGGCGTGGTCTGGCCACCATCTGCACTGGGGTTGGGGCAGAGCCCTAGAGTAGCGAGCCGCCTGGTCCAGACCCGGTGCCAGCCTAGGTGGGGCCGGGCTGCGTGCCTGAAGGGAGGAAGCAGCCGGCTTTACCCAGGCCTGGAGATGACTGGCAGGGTGAGGGTTGAGCGGGCAGCAGCAGATGCTGCGGGGTGGGCATCACTGAGGTACATGTTTGTAGGCTACCAGGTGGCCCCTGCTGCCTTACCTGAGCTGGACGTGGCACCCCACCCCTGTAAGGCCCAGCGACTCCCCCCAATGCCTGATACATGTGGACAGCCCAGCCACTGGGTGGCAGGCGGCGAAGGTAAGTCTCCAGCCCCATTGGCTCCTGTGTCTTCCCCAGACGCAGAAGGGGGCCGGTGGCCCTGCATTGGCGACTGCAGTTGATGTGCTGTACAGTGTCTCCAGTCCCTGGCCTGGTCCAGGCTCTCAGGACACTCAGGGACTGTGTTCTGGAATCCGGATGTAAAACAGACATAACTGCAAAGTCGGTCATCTTGAACTTGACACTGCATTCAGTCCGTTCTCCTATGGCCTCTGCCTCTTCCGGGCCACCCAACCTGCTGCTGAACTGCTCCCAGGACGTGGCCACAGGCAGTCACATGGGCACTTCTGCATCTGGTCCCTTCCAGAACCTCGTTTCCAGGGTCCTCCTGTGGCCAAGGCCTGCCCATCAGTAGACTGATAGGCCTCTGGCTGGCACGAATGATGCTGGAAATGTTGTCCTCAGTCTTCCCGGGCCCATGGCTGGAAGTGTGACAGCAGGGCCCAGCTTTGTCCCAGGGGACTGTAGAGGCAGCAGGTCCATCCTCTGTCCTCAAGGCTCCATCTGTGCTCCCCTTGTGGCCACGGATGGCCAGTGCTCTCCAGGTGCACACTGGGATTTGCATCTGCTTCACAGAAGGCTCCATGCGTGTCCTCCTCCTGGTCCTTGCTGGGCTTTTGTCTCCTGTGGTGGTGTCTGCATGCTCTGGACACCACTCTGAGATGCAGTCCTGGTGAATTTGGTGACCTGTCCCATGTCCTAGGGTGTCCCTGGTGTCCCATTTGTGTCTGCAGTTGGTTCTCCTTTGGGATTTCTCCCGTTTAACTTCTGCACATGGTGTGAAGGGCCCACACATTCTTCAAACTGGGATCTCAGCACCCTTGTCAACAGCTGTCTGTAAAGAGTTTTTCTACGCTGCTGACCTGTGCCAGTGCCAGTTTTGGCTACTGCAGCTTTGTTGCAGAGTTTGAAATCAGACTGTGAGGGCTCTAGCTTTATTCCTCGTTATTTGCAGTCACAAGAGCCTGAGAATGGGGCTCCATTGCGGTAGATGAGGCCACCAGACCCTGGACAGGCCTGGTGGAGCCTCAGGCCACTCTCCCATCTGTGTGCCTCTCGGGAGGCCCAGTCTTTACTTCTCGTCCTGGCTGGGCTAGTTCCCGGGCACCCAGCTCCTCTAGCTGGTTCCTCAGTTCAGCGAGTGACAGTCCCAGGTCTCCGGCTCCCACTCACAAGCACCACCCACCCCACACTGGCTCCTGTTGTCAGCGCCCCAAAAACCACACTGACCACTGCAGATTGAGTACAGCCAGGCACTCTGCCCTGCGTGGACAGTGCCATGGGGAGCTGAGGGCAGACACAAATGTGCCGGCTCCTCAGGGAGTAGGGCTGGTGAGGGAGAGGTGACTGCGGTCACCATCAGGACCTCAGGACCCTGGAGTGTCCTCAGGTGAGCAGATGTCCAGAGTGACCACACCCTGAGGTGGGGGTCTCCCTGAATAGGGCTGGGCACCTGGAGTCAGAGCCCAGGGGGACACTGCCAGCTGACCCTGAGCCCTGCTGCACCCCAGGAGGCCTGGCTGGTGTCCTTGTCCTGCAGCTCCACGTGGCTGGCAGACACACAGACAGCTGACAGATAATCACGAGCGGGCGGCTGCCTGGGGTGGTGAGCTGCTCCTGCCTGGCCCTCCCCTGGCCTTCCCTGGGGGCGCTGTCAGGCTGGAGGGTGCCTCCTCCAGGCCTGCCGTGGCTCTTGCAGGTTGTCTCGGACCTTGCCTTCCTGCCAGGACTGTGGGGCGGTGGCCGCAGGCTTCCCCCCAGGGCTTGCCTCTCCAGAGGAGAGTCCCTACAGTTCTAGCCACTGCTGTGCCTGCGGAGACCCCTCACAGGGCCCCAGGAAGGGCCCCGGGGTTGGGGCAGCCAGTCAGCCCTGAGGTTGCTGAGGGCAGACTGGCTGGCTCCAGGCTCCCTGCTCCGAGGCCCATCTGTCCCCATAGACACAAGGTGCCTATTTCCCCAGGAGCCAGAGCACTGACCCTCTGTTCCCTCCTAGGCTGACCAGGCAGGCTGAGAGGCTCCACACAGGGGGCTCCCCTGACTGTGCCCAGCTTGGCTGGCCTGTTGTGGAGCCACCTTGTCCCTGGAAGGCTTTGCAGAATGGCTGGCCGTGGAACTGTGAGTAGAAGGTGGGGTGGGATAGGCTCCTCCAGGCGCCTTGCGACCCATCCCACTCAGCCAGTAGGAAGCATGGCATCCCAGCACACCCCCAGACATGGTGCCGCCAACCCTGTGGCCTCTGCAGGTCACTAATACGAGTCTGGGGACATGGCCACATGTGGAGGACGGTGGCTCTGTCCACACCTCAAAGGCTGACCACGTGGGGAGGATGTGGGGTACAGGTGTAGACTACGATGAGCTTGAGATAGTAGAGCTGCCCCATCTAGGTGGGTTGCAGGCCTGGTCCCCTGCTGTGTGGGCACGGTCCCCTGCTGTGTGGGCACGGTCCCCTGCTGTGTGGGCACGCTCAGCCTGGCCCTGGGGAATAAACCAAGCCCTGGGCGGGGCTGCTCCTGAGCTTGGGCAGCTGTCCCCTGTGAGGGCAAGAGGACGGGCAGGTGCAGCACTTGGAGGCCTGGTGCCGGCTGCCCTGTGGGAGACCAGGGGTCGCCCTCCTGGGAAGGGGCGATGGGCACCAGGGAATCACACAGCAGCGCCTGTCCGTGGGCCTTTATTGTGGCTTTGCCTAGAGAGGCCAGTCCTACTCCCTGAAGTAGCCCTCCAGGTCCTCGAGGCGGACTGCGGGGAAGTAGGGGCCAAGCCTCCTGCGCACCCACCACTTGCCCTCTGCGGCATGCTTGCCCCCAGGAAGGCTGAACTTGTACCGCCAGTGCTCTGCTCGGATCCACCTGTGGGGACAGGAACAGCAGGTCAGTCCCCCAGTAGCCCCTATGCCTGCCCGCCCAGGCCGCCCATGCACAGAGCCTGCACAGAGGGAGGCCCCACCCTGAACCTCTAGTGGCTGTGTCCTTCCAGCCCGTGTGTGCCCTGGGCCACAGGATGGTGGACACGCTATGTCCCGGGGAAGGGGGATCCTCTGTGCTCTGGCCTGCACAATGACGAGGGTCTCAGTGTCCCTGAGAAGGAGTGTGGCTCTAGGAAGGTGGGGCAGGCTGGCAGCCGTGTGCTCTCTGTCCTCCTCTTGGCGTTTGGCCCTGGAGCCGTAGGAGCTTTGCCGGGGCCATGTGGAAAGGCATGAGCCAGCATGGGGCCAAGACCTGGCGAGCCCCATGCCTGGCGAGCCCTGTGGGTGCCGTACCCTGACCCAGCCGGCTACCGGCAGCGCTGGTGGCTGTGGTGACTCCCCTCCTTGGTGTGCCGTCCACTGAGGTCAGCCCTGCTGTGGCTCTGGTCCCTCGGCTCTGGTGTGCGTGCTCTATGCAGGCGACGGTCCTCCTGGTCTGCACTGTCCTCCAGGCTGTTGATGCTCTGGACTGCAACTGCGGCTCCTTGACACCCTTCCCCACACTGGACTCCACCATGTGGCAGCAACGTGCTCTCCAGGAATGGCAGGCCTATCTCTGCAGTGGGAGGCATTGAGACCCGCAGTGGAGCCTGCACAGTGGTCCTGGCTCTCCTCCCTGGAGACCGCTGGACTATGTGTGTTGTGAGTGGTTGAAGGACCTGAACAGCAGCTGCCCAGGCCTCCTTGTCTGCAGAAGGGCACATCTCCAGTCGACATCTTGCTGGCTCTTGGTATGGGTGGCTTCTCCTATGGGTGCCACAGAGTCCCTGATCTCCCTTACCTCCTGCTCTGGATCTGCTGGAGGGGCCAAGCCTCAGGTCACACTGGGAGGCAGTGGTCATGTGCCCGGCATCAGGCCCTTGGCTCTACTAGGAGTCACCTCCTACTTTCTGGGTGGGGCCCATATGGTCTCACTGCCCACTGTCCCCCACTGCTGGGCAGCCTCTGACAGCTCGTGGGCAGAATGCAGCCAGGTCCACCTGGTCCTGGGGCAGGGCGACTGCTATGCAGTGATGTCATTCTGTGATTGTCTTGCCTGGTGGCTGCTCCTTGCCCTGGGGACAGAGGAAGCTTTCCTTGCAGAAACAGGAGTATCTTCTGGCTGTTGGCTGGCAGGGAGCTCTGAGTTGCCCGTCTTTATCGAGGCAGAAAGAAAACCCAGGAGCCTCTGCCTCAGGGCTGTGGCTGGGGGCCTGCTGCCCTCCCTGCTTCAGGACCACCGTTTGTGTCTGCAGCATCCAGAGCTTCCAGCTGTCCTTGGGAACAGGGAAGTGTCCACTCCCTCGTCAGGAGGATCAGGCAGTGGAGCGCATGCTCTGTAGCCATGTTCAGTGTTCCCCTAGAAGTGAGCCCGCTGCTAACGCACAGCAGAGACGGGCTGGGTCTGGCACCTCCAGGTGCCCAGCCTCCAATGGAGACCACCACCACCTCTGGTTTTCAGGCCTTCAGCACTTGGGCTATGGTAGCTCAGCGGCCCTGCACAGGTGGGAGCCTGGCCAGAGGGTCAGAGAAACCTGCCTCAAGTCTGGAGGGACACAGCTCCTGGACCAGAGAGGCCTGGCCACAGGCAAACCTGGGGACCAATGGCCTTGGGGGCTTGTGCTGGTCCAGGTCTGCTGGTGGCCTGCCTGAGGGGTGCTGGGCAGTGAGGGGAGGGCTTCCAGAAGCCTCAGTTGGCCAGGGGCCCCCTGCTTGGGCTGCCAGACGGCGCAGCTGCTGCTGCCTCTGTAGGCCCTCCTGCTGCCTGGCCAGCTGTGGGCAGCTTGACGGTGCAGCTGCCCCGAGGCTTCTTGAGGGGAAACAGGAGCATCTTCTGTCAGAATGGACGGCCAGCTGGGACTGCGCTGTCCCTCGTCCCTGGCTGCTCCCTGGCTCCACACACATCACAGCTCCCACTTAGACCCCAGTGTGGGAGGCTGCAGGGTCTTTGGAAAGCTGGGCTTGGCAGCCATTCATGGCTCCAGTGAATCCCTTACCCCAAGAGGACAGCTCCTGGGCTGCTACCATGTCACTACGCAGACCTCTGCTGGAGCAGAAGCCAGACAGGTCCCTTTGGGCCGAGGGCTGGTGTGGGCCAGAGGCCCTGCGGGAAGGTCTTTTGCCCAGATGGCCTGTGGCCCGTGAGGTCAAGCCTAGGCAAGGCCAGGAGGGGCTTACCTGGGCGGTGGCCTGCCCTCAAAGGGGTTGGAGGCGAGCAAGGACAGGGCCTGGGCGTCGTTGACCAGCAGCTTGCCGGCCAGCTGCAGGATCCACTCATTGTGCTCGTAGGTCTGCAGGGATGGTGCTTGTGAGTCTAGGGTGCAGGCTGTGCCCCACCTCTCCAGCCATTCTTAGCATGGTCACTAAGGGTCTATTGCATGTGGGCTGCCTGCTGGCCTGAGGGTCACTTGTCTGTGTATAGTTCTGCCCCCTCCCGGCCACCTGCCCGCTAGCCCTGTGTCACTGTCAACACTGGTAAAAGCCAGAACGGTGGTCTGTTGCAAGCACCCAGGGCGTGCCTGGGAGGGAGGGAGAGGTGGGGCAGTGCTCCCTCACCTGGAAGGCCGCAAACCACATTAGCCAGTCCAGGCGGTAGTGGTAGGGAGTGATCAGGCATGGCCGCCTCCAGGGGTCACCGGGCTTGCATTTGAACTCATAGTCCTCCCACACAGCATCAGGGGCACTGGCGTTGGGACTCGTTGTGCCCTGCAGGATCACCTCTGTCCGCTCCTTGGTGATGCTGTGGGAAGGCAGAGGCAGGGCCCGTGGGTCTGCGGCACTTCTGTGCCAAGTGGGGTGTGGGCTCTCCATCCATCCGCCTGAAGTGCTGGGGACTCCAACTCCCACCAGCCTGAGCCCAGAGTGGAGGGGCCAGTATGGGGCCAGCGGTACCTGCCAAAGGCCCCATAGCTGTTGACGATCCTGAGTGAGCCGAAGGTGGTGTTCATGACCTGCTTGGCGCTCAGCAGGTTGAGGACCACTGGCACACTGAGCCAGGCCAGGAGGATGCCCAGTGAGAGGTTGACCACGCGGCGCACAGCACAGCCTGCAGAGGGAAGGCAGGTCTTGTCAGATGGCTCCCAAGCCTAGCAAGGAGCAGCAGTGTCCCCTTGGCTTGTGCCCCTGAGACCTGGCTGCTGCCCTCCAGGCTCAAGGAGACTCGGGGACACCTCAGCTGGCCTCCTATCCACAATCCCTTGTAGAGGTCTGGCTGTCCCAGCTCCTGGGATTCAGCAGGGGCCTTCCCAACTGCCCTCCCCTGCCCTTCTGAGGTGTGGCCGGCCAGCATGCAGCTGTCCTTGTTGCGTCCTACCTACATGTCTTGGCCGGGACTGGGCCCCTTGGGCTTCTTCGTCCTGCAGTTTCAGGGCTCTGTCCTTCAGGCCAGCTGGCCCAGAGGGAAACAGGAATCCCAGAGAGGCGTCATCAAAGCAGCTGAGGCTGGGCACGATAGTCAGCCAGTTCAGGAAGCTCAGGTTCCCACTGAGGATGAGGACCACCTGTGGGGAAGGGCTGGGCCAGCGTCAGGCAGGGCCTCCAGGACTCGCCGCTGCCCTCTGTGCCCATCCCCTGCAGCTGCCCACATCTTCCTTGCTCAGCAAGAAGGATGCCCCAAGGAACAGAGCTAGAGTGCACCCTGGCTGTCAGCTCCAGGCCCTTCTTGTCCTTTGGTGTTGGGGTTGAGCCCAGGGGCATGCTGCCACTGAGCTAGGTCCCCAACCTTTTTGAGACACGGACTTGCTAAGTTGCCCAGGCTGGCCTAGAACCTGTGACCCTCCTGCTTAGCCCTGGTATAGGAATATGCCACCGTGCCCTGTACTAGGCCACCCTATGGTGCATAACTGCCTGCAGGTGGGTGTGGAGCCCACACAGGGGGCAGCCAGCCCAGCGAGGGTGGTGGCAGCTGGGTGGGAAACGTGGAAAGCCAGCCCAGCCCTCATGCTGGCAGTGCTGATCACCTTACCCTTGCTCAGGACGGCCATCCCCTCAGAGCTCCCTGGAACCTCTGCCCTTTCTTGGGCTTCAAAAGAAGGCAGCTTCCTTGGCCCAGAGGAATGTAGCCAAGGGCCACCCTCTGGGACGGCATCTGCCCCAGCAGAGGGGGCAAGCCCCGGGTCCTCATCCTGCAGTGGACACAGCAGAGGCAGCTTCTGCTGATGCCAGAAGAGCTGGCCTGGATCAGGCCCAAGGGTTACGTGCCAACCCTGAGGTGCAATGTTGCCAGCATCCAGCCTGCAGCCTGGGGCAGTGGCTGCTGAGGTGTGCTCAGGGCTTCCTGGGTCCTGCCAGCAGTCTGCCCAGCCCACGGCTGGGGTCTCCATCACCCAGCTCCCGGGGCCTGTCCCTGCTCTGCTTGCAGGTTCCTTCACGTGCTGCACTTCCAAAGCCCTCCCCATGGAAGTCCAGCTGTGGATGGACACAGCTCAGCACTGACCAAGCCCGAGATGGGGAGAACAGCTGGTACCCTGCTCAGGACGAGGTGGCTGGGAGGAAGTGGTGTAGGGCTGAGGCCCTGCTAGAGTAATAGGAGGTGTCCAGGACTGACCAGAGGAAAATGTGGAGAGCTGCCAATGCCACTCTGGTAGGTCCAGCAGGAGGACGACAAGCTCATGAGGACAGTGCTAGTGACCACCAGCCCATGGGTGTGGTATCCAGGCTGCTGGGGCCAAGGCATGTCCTCTTCAGGATAGCTCTGGTGCTACCCCAATGGCCGATAGTTGTGCTGTGTTGGTGGGAGTGGACAAGGGCAGCTCCCCATGGCCCTGCCCCACGCTCCTGGACTTTGCTCTTGGCCTAGTCCTAGTGAGGAGTGGGAGCTCTGAGGCCATATATGCGGGTGTGACGAGGGCTTCGTGCAGGGGAGCGGGGTTTCGTTGGCTTTGTGGCTATGACTGCAGCTTAGGAACTGTGGATTCAAGGCTCTCCCTGGATCCATTGGGAGAACTAGTTTTCCTAGTTTTTTTTTATTCAAAAATAATTCTTATTCTTCTCTGTTTATGATGTCAACAAACCTCTGGGCTCAAGCAGCCCAGCCCCACACTTGCCCAATCTGCAGTTTCTCTACCAGCTTCCTGGGCTGACCAGGGTCCCAGAGGTGCTGGGCGCCCTCCTGTGGACAGGTAGGGCCAGGGACGCAGGGACTGTGGTTGTGACAGGAGGGCTGTTAAGAGTCCCGAGCCCCCTCCTACATGGGGAGGGTCCAGGGCTGGTGGTGGGCCTGACTTCAAGCTGAGCCCTTTGGGGTGTCATGGTAGGGATGCTCTGGGAAGGATGCCCTGGGAAGCACCCACTCCACCTTGTGCCTTCTGGGGTTGGCCTGGTCTGGGATGGTAGCTGGGAGGAAGCAGCCTCCTCTGCTTGTCCGTGGCTACAGGAGGCCATTTCCTCCAGCTAGGATGGCACTTGAGAGCCCTGGCTTCCTCTGAGTCTCTGCCTCCTTGAGGGCGGGTGGCGGAACTTGCCCAGTTTCAACTTCTCCTCCTGCTCTGACTGCACAGCAGATCCCTCAGGCCAAGGGTCCCAGCCCTCGCTCGGGGGAATCCCAGAAGGCTGGTGTCCAGCCTGCCTATGCCCACTTGCTTACACCTGGGAGGAGCCTGCCTTGTGACCTCACTGTGGCCCTAGAGACATGGGAAGGCCACTTGCACACTGCCTGGGCCGCAGTGCACTCTGGTTGCTTTAGAGGTGCACGGTGAGCCATGGGAGGGAGCAGAGGCCACAGAGGCACCCAGGACTGGCCCAGCAGTTTCCTATCTGCATCTGCCAGGGATGCACCTGGACATGCAGGCCTGGAAAGGAGGCGAGCGCTTGGACCAGGACTTCTAAAGTACCACCAGAGCCCTTGTGGAAGGGCCTCTCCCCACTCAGGGACCTTAGGGCCCACCAGATTGGCAGCCTGGCAGGGCAGCACCCTATGTGACCCAGCCCCACGAACTTTTGGAAAAGGCAAATATGGGGACAGGAAAAGATGCAGGTTGGAGTGGTGGAAGACAACGGACAGAGTGCAGGTCTCAGGGCACTGTGCCCTCTGAGAGGCACGTCATCTTGTGTTTGTTTAAGCCCACAGAGCACAGCAAGGGTGGCCCTGAGTGGGTGCTGAGTCTGAGCTAATGTGGGGGCTGGGGATGCATAGGGAGCCTCTGCAGTCTCTGCGGCTTTCCATGAACCCAAAACTGCTCCAAGAGAGGTCTTAAGAGCAACGTGAAGCGGCAGAGGGACACTGAGAGCAGGCGACTCCAGGGACAGGGTGAGTGTTCGAGCTAGGCACTGTGCAGGGCCTCTGGCCAGCTCTGGTTAAACATGACCCGCTCCCCAGAGAATAGGGGATGAGGGGAAAAGAGGCCGCAGGTCCAGACTCAGGAGCTGAGAGCGTTATGGCCTTCTTTGGAGGCAGTAAGTTTGAAAGCAGCCTTATTCCCAGGACAATACCAACCCTGAAGCTGCCTCAAAGAGGGAACGTCCCTGCATGTCCAGTGTGTGTAAAGCACCCTGTGGCACTGCCCACCAGGCTGGGGGGACCACGGGCAGTTGAGTGGACAGCAGACACACGTGGCCAGGCTGGGATGGAAGCCACACCAAGTCCACAGACCCAGGAACGTGCTCAAGCATGTGTGACTCGGGCTGCACCTCAGCACCTGGGCAGACTCGGGGACAAGCCGGCCCCTCATCATCAACCAAACCAGACTTCAGGCTGAGCAGAGCACAGCCGGCGACGCAGGCAGCCTCACAACCCACAGACGACATGTGGCCCCCCACACCAAGAGGGAAGCAGGCCAGGCCCAGGGCAGGGTCCTGGGGCAGCCGTGGCTGCCCAAGGAGAGGCTGCCCAGGGCCGACCGTAAGTCCCAAGCCCGAGCAATGGAGAAAGAACCTAGGTGGAAGCCACCTGAAATCTAAGGTGAGCTACTAAGCCCAAGGACGCACTGACCACAAGGTCATCCCAGGCTCTGCAGGCAGATGTGTACTGTTGTCTGGGCCCTCAAGGAACTCAACCCATACAAGGAGCTGCTCTTGCCCCAGCATGGTGACACAAGGACCCACGAAGCACGTGCCACCTGGGCTCCTGCTGGCCAGTGGTGGGAGGGGATGCTGCTCTGGCCAGGGGCAGTTCTCTGAGAGCCAAACACACTACCCCTCACACTGCAGCGTCCTCCAGAGCTCGACTCATGGGAGATGAGGCACCAAGGCCCACCGCAGCCTGCGGGCAGAGGTGGGAGGGGCCTGGACCCCCACGCACACCAACGCACAGAGGGAGACCCACTGTGCCCACGGCCACGCAGCTCTCTGTGGAATCTCTGTGGACATGTCTGCAGGAGACCTGTCCAGAGGTGGTGTGGGTGCCAGGAGGTTGAAGGGGTCATGCACCTTGCGGGGGAGCCTGGGAGGGCAGAGGGTGGGCTGGGCACCCACCTGATGTCAGGGGACCAGCTCTAGGAATCCCAGTCCTGGTGCAGACAGTGCATGTGAAAGGAAACTTCTAGAACTTAAGGAAAAACTTTAGGGCTGAACCTGACAACATGGGGAATGCCTGTGCCAGGCCAGTGTGCCTGTCCCTCTCTGCCCGCCCAGGTCCCCCCTTGGGAGGATCTGTGTGGGGCACCAGTGCAGGGGACAGGGGGCCACTCACCTGGAACAGGATCTGAAGCACGCCATGGAGGATGCACATCCGTCGCCCGAGGAACAGGAAGAAGGGTACCAGGAGCTCTAGGAAGTGGTTGCTGAGGGCCTCAAAGCGGTGCACCCACCAGGGCGACCTGTGTAGGAAGTAGGCCAGGGGGCTGGGCACTGGCTGGGTCTGCAGGGACAAGGAGGCCTGTGAGCCACTGAGCTGCGAGTGGACCCAGGTGGTGGGGCTCTAGGATGGCACGCCCCCAGCCCTGCACACAGAGCTGACCTGGCCAGCCTGAGAGGCAGAGCACACTCCTTCTCTGCTTTAAAACTGTCATTATCTAAATACAAAAAAATGCACTCCTTAGTTGCAAGAGCTCCTTTGAACCAGTATGCCCAAATGAAGGACACAAGGGGGCCTGGGGAGGCTCACTGCCTGCCACAGGCAGATGGCAGGTGGCCTCTGGGGGGCTGCACAAGGAGCAGCTGGAGTGCAGAGCGTGGGGCCCCTCGACACACGTCAGGTGTCTCTGAGCAAGCACGAGACAATGGGTGCCATCCACACAGAGAAGGAACAAAACTGACCGGAAGAGCATGCCCATGTCTTCTTGGGTGCCATTCCCCTGGGTGTGGCCTTGGCCACAGAACATTAAAACAGTGACACCCATCAGGCCTGGCTCCTGCCACCCCAGCCTCAGTGTGAGGAGCCCCTGCCACAGTTTGGGCCACAGTGCCTCCATGGCTGTCCCCACTTCCTGGGCTCTGTGTTTGCCCTCCCAGTGGGCAGCACCTGCTATTTGCCCAATCCGAGTTGAAGTCCACAGCTGGCTAGATGGGAGAAGAGCGGAGTCTTCCCCTAACCATGCCATGGGGAGAGATGGGTGCCCTCCAGCCCTCTGCAGGTGCACCCAGAGGGTGGACGCCCATCTCCAAGATGCTTCCCACAGAAATAAGCAACTTGGTCTGTGCAGTGTGACCCACGGCCCTACGCTGGGGACAGAACCCTTGGCCGCGGGTTCCTGCACCAGCACTGGGCGTCCCAATCAGGGCTCCACCCGGACCCACGTGCTCACTCTGCAGCTGTGGTAGAGACCAGGGATTATGGTGTCTGACCCCACCACATGGGCGAAGGGGATTTGAGGGGTTGTGTCCCAAGTAGACAGAACCTTTAAGGAGTGACATGAGGGTGGAATGGGACAGCACCTGCCTGAGCATGGGGACAGTGACACAGACTCTGGACTCCACAGACCCCTGGAAATCCCAGCGAGATGGGGTGGAGAGGACAAGAGGGGCAGAACAGCTACTCTACAGGGGTCCGGGGCAGGGGCTCTGGACTGGGGAAGGCCAGGCCCCTGCAGGTTCAGAGGGGAACGGAGATGGAGTAAAACACCAGGTACAGGTTGACCATGGCCAGTGGCCCTGGCCTGGCCACGTCTGGGAGGGAGATGTCACCAATGTTGGCCATGACGGTCCTGGCAAGGAAGCCTGTTTTCCAGGATGCATCCCTCCCAGCCTGGCTGGCTCCATGGAGAATGGCCTCTGGTCCTCTGGACAGAGGGCCTGCTCAGTGCCCCAACGGCTGACCCCTCATGGGGCAGAAGCCTGTCTGCACTGAAGCTTGGTTGTGAGCTGTGGAGGAACCGGCAGCCTTGAGGTGGCACCCAGGCAGGCGGTGGGAGCGGCGCCAGGAGCCAGAGCTGCCCACCTGCGACCGGGCGAGGCACCACGCCATCCCCAGGTGCAGGACGTGCACAGCACAGCCCAGGCTTCATGTCCTGCTTTGTAGATCTGCCCTCAAGGAGACAATCTTAAGGAGAAAACCATGAGCCCAGGGAGCTGGAGGGCCCATCTCCGCAGGGAGCTCAAAGAACAGATGGTTGGTCCCCATTTTCCTACTTCAGCCACCACGGAGTGCGCTTGGGGATTTAGTGTGATGGCAATGCCATGCCTCATCTCAGGCGCACACACTGACATGGTGAGTACTGCTTGCTGGGCACCACCACCAATCCTGGGAAGCCGGTCCCCATGCCAGCCCAGGGCCTGGTGAGGCCTTTGCAGGAAGTCGGCATCTGTGTGTTGAAGGCAGGGCCATGCCCGAAGCCCAAGCTCTCGCCTGCTTTGGGGTGACTGACCTCTTCCCTGGCACCGTAGTGCCGACGTGTTGTGGGCAGTGGAGGTGGCTCATGCTGACTAAAAAGTGAGACTTTGGGACAAACGGCAGGGTTGGCTGTGTTCTAGGAGCAGATCAGGGGCACCACTTGAGGCCCAACATGGTGATACTACTGAGAGTCAGAACCCGGCCCTGGAGGGGTGGGCAGCCAGGGAGGCCACTCTGGGGGTGCCTCCACAGTGCTCGCCTGAGCTAGAGCTGCCCGGCCACTGCAATAGAGACGCAGGGAAGGAGAACGGAGCCATGCAGACGGTGCCTGGATGCAGAAATGCCAGGGAAGCACAGGTGCCTTGACACAAGCTGCTCTCTGTGCTGCTTCCTACATGGCAGCCACCAAGCCCCACCAGCTCGAGGGACCCACTAAGGGGAGCAAGCGTCTGTCCCCTCCACTAGAGCTCTGACTGCCTGCAGGATTCATCTCTATGGAAGACCGCAGGGCGAGGGGCACTCTGGGACTTCCCAGAATAAGGCCCACCAGGAGGTTTGGAGGAGGCCAGTCAGCATGAGGTGGGACAGTCAGGGCATGGGGCCCCACTGAGCCACCACCTCCCAAAGAGCAGTCCCACTTGAAACAGCATGGAGCGGAGCCTCCTGGCCAGGTCCAGCAAACCCCGGAGTCCCCAGGATCACAGGCTGTGGCCCCTGCCCTCAAGACTGCAGTGCACGGTGCAGCAGACACTGGCAGTGAGACGTGAACACAGGACCTTGGCCCGCACCCCATGACCTGACTCTATGGGAAGACAGACCGCGAGCAGCCAACATGCTGGCAGGTGTAAAAGCCGCTCGCCAGCCCCTGGTTTCTGCAGGGTGGAGGAGGGGTGTGCACCTGCGTCTCCATGCTGTACACAGAGCCACTTGGAGCAGTCGCCAGTCTAAGGGCAGCCTCCCTGCAGCTTTCCTCACGACTCCACCGTCCATTTTCCACGTCACACAAGAGACAGACGAGCTTCAGGGACTGTGGTCACAAGTCTGAACTCGCCACACGTGAAGCTGCAATCGTGTGACACCCAACACCAACGGTGAGTGTGTAGTGCTGCATGTCTGAGGCCATGCAGGTGTCAGGCCACGCAGAGGGCCCACTGCACGTGGCAGATGTAGTCCCCAGGACAGCCGCAGAGAGAGCACCATGGGAAACACAAGAGGGAACAGAGTGACTAGACCCTCCACCATGAAACACAGATGCGACAGGGTCCTCGGCAAAGAGGCCCAACAGGAGGGGACTGGAGAGTCTGAAGATGCTGCGGCGGAGTCAGAGAACAGAATCAAACACTCCCCAAAATGCTTAGAAAGGAAAAAGCACCCACGTCCCATGCAACAGCCTTGGCAGCCCCGTTCACGCATGGCCGATTCCTGGGGAGAGCAGACGCCACAGGCTGCAGCCACAGACCCAAGGTGCTCCCCACGCACAACACCCTGTGGTCCAGGAGGCCACAGCCAGCAGGACTGCATGTTACAGAGTGCTGACCGGGACACCCAGAAGCACACCCTGAGCTCAGCACCAGCCCGCACCCAACTAGTACAGGCAGCAAGTCCGCGTGGGAAGGCAGAGCACGTGGAGCCGCACCCCGCAAAGGATGAGCCCCAGAAGTGGCGGGCACAGGTGAGACGGAGGCTCTGTCCACTCTACAACTAGACACTGTGAAAGAATGGGACACGGGTGTGGAGACCTGGACTGACAAGAGGTGGAGGCCAAGGTCCCACCAGAGGGAAGGGAGCTCTGAGACGCGGTCCGTGCCCAGAGCCCGCCCCAGCCTCTTGGTCCTCCCTTCTGACACCCCCACTCCAGCCTTGGCCAGTTAACATCCAGGGCCAGCCTGAGCTGCCCAGCTGACCCCTTCCCCAGTCTTAGTCAGGACAAGCACCCTCTGCCAGCCCTCAGGGCATGCTTCTGTGCCAAGGCTAGTCCCTAGCCAGGGCTGGGCCAATGACACGCCCTCTGCAGACAGCACAGGTCAGAACCCAGCCTGCACCCCAGGCCAACAGCCACACAGCGGGCACAAACACTGGCCCTCAGCAGTCCTCACCCAGGGGACTGACCCATAGCTGTCCTTCTGGAGCCCCTAGGCCAGCCATCATCACAGGGCCTAGCCTGGGCCAGGAGAGCTGGTGGCTGGCATGGCAGGACCCCAGAGCAGTATGGCTGACCCGCAGGGGGAAGGGGCTCCCTTCACCCCAGGCTTCTGGCAGGTTCAAAGTAGCCCTGACAGATTTTCAGTCTTCTCTCCCAACACTCCTGCACCAAGTGCAACAGTGACCACAGGGCTTACATGGATATGACCCTGTCCCACAGAGAGCCTGCCCCCATGCACACATCCCAGCCAACTGGGTCCTGGGGAGGGGCGGGGATCCTCGCTGTTTCAGAGATGAGTCCCACTCGTACAGTGGAGTGCACAACCAGGAAAGTGGACAAGAGCCCTGGGCTGAAGAATGTAGGTGTTATTTGGAGCGCATGCCCTGGGTGCAGGACACACGCCCTGGCAGGGCCTGGCTGGTGTACTGCTTCTACTGCAGTGGCATCCCGACAGTTCCCAGGTTTGCCAACCCTAACCTGCAGATGCCCCATGTCCACAGCATCTGCTGCCACCGGCCCTTGCTTGAGTGTAGGAAAGCCTTGCTGAGAGGCTGCCATGATGGTTCTGGACCCTGACGGACAGGCCAGCCTGGGCTTCACTGCCCAGGTTGAGGTCTCTGGGCCTTGTCCTCAGGGCAGGGGTGCCAACTGTGGCCATTTACAGGCAGCCTGCTCCCCATCACCGGTGAGGCCCACTCTCTGGTATCCCACTCTGGGATGGAGGTGCTCATGGGACCCAAGGCAGGACAGGACTTCTGGAGGACCTGACCGGGGTCGAGGCCTTAAAAAATAAACTCAAGGCTTGCTGGTCAAACCCAGCACAAATGCTGATGTCCATGCACCCAGCCAGCAGACCCCGGGACCCCGGGATTGATGCATGCCGTACCAGAGCAGCAGCACCCTGTACTCAGGAGACCAGGCTCAAGCTTGACTGGAAGCTCCAGCAGTGAGCCTCAGAGCTGTGGCAGTAGGGCAGAGGCATGGAGGACAGCCCTGCAGGATGGGACACACCGTGGTCTCCTCTGGCACCTTGATCAGCCCCATGCCCATCCACATACAAGCACCAGACCTGGCAGAATGGGACTGCTGGGTGAGTCGGAGCCCTGGGCTGAGGCCTGGGACAGCCTCCAGGGACCTGAACAGAGTGGCAGTCACCTGCTTGGGTGATGGAGGTGCACCCAGGGAAGGCACAGCGGGGGGAGCTGCCACCCCAGAGGGTGAGGAAAGCCAGACAGCTGGACCTGCAGCCAGGGTGGGTCAAACATCTGTCTACCAGCTGGCAGGCACGTGACACTCTGCACACCGCCTTGTGATCCACCCCAGAGAGAGCTGGGAGCAGGGATGTCCTCAGTGAATGGAGACTGGAACCCCTCGAGGACGGGCTCAGCTGCTCACCTCGTAGTGGAAGTCCAGGCAGGTGAGGTCTCGCCAGCACTGGTCACCACGAATCTTGATCAGGCCCTGCAGAGGCAAGACAGCAAGCAGCGTCAGTCCCCAAGGACACACCTCCTCCAGCCTTACCCTACCAGTCTGTAGTCACCACTCAGTTACTACCTGTCAGGGGATTAATTCACTGATTGGGTTAAGGCTCTCATAACCCAGTCATTTCCCCTCTAAACCTTCTTGCATTGTCTCATACATGAGCTTTTGGGAGACACCTAATATCCAAACCATAGTACCACCCAAGCAACACCCACTCACCCATCATCCATTATCCCCACATCCACCATCCATTCATGCACATATCCATCATCTATCCACCATCCATTCATGCACACATCCATCCACTCATCATCCATGCACCCATCAATCCATCAATCATCCACTCCTCATCTATTACTCCTCCATCGTTTCTCCATCATCCAACACTAACTCATTCACCCATCCCTCATCTACCATTCCAACATCCACTCACTCATAATCAGCCCATAATTCATCTGTAAATGAGGAATCCATTATTGATCCACCATCCATCTACCCATCCACCCATCATGCATGCATCTGTCATCCATTGATCATGTAACTACCGTCCATCATCCACACATCCATTATTTATCCATCAAACATCATTCACCCACCACCTAATCACCCATCTAACACCTACTCACCCACTTATCCATCATCTATCTACTATCACTCATGCATCCATGATCCATTATCTAACCACCAGCAATCCAATATCCACTCATCCACCACCGTTTTTCCATCATTTTCCCACCATCCACCCACCCATCATCTACCATCTACCTACCCATTTTCCATCCATCATTTATCAACCACTCATCACTCATCCATCCACCCTTCATTCATGCATCCATCAATACATCAACCATCATTCATGCATCCATCCCTTGCACATCCATCCATATAGCCAGCATCTTCTCATCAACTTGTCCATCATCCATACACCAAATGTCCATGCTTCATAATACATCACTCACCTATCCATTGTCTATCCACCTTCCATTCACCCATTTAACACCCACTCACCCATCATCCACACATCCATTGTTCATCTATCATTCATCCACCAATAATCTATCCACCACCCATCCAACATCCGCTCAACCACTCACCCACCATCTATTCACCCTTTGTGCATGCATTCATATCCAGCCATCATCTATATAAACCATGCATCCATCATCTATCAACATTCAATACCCATTTATCCACCCATCCATCATCTATCTACCTATTGTCGGTGAATCCATCATCTATCCACCATCCATTCACCTACTGAACATCCACTCATAATCCAAGTATCATTTATTCATCATCTGTCAATCCCATCATCCAACATCTGTCAATCCCATCATCCAACACCTACTCATCCACCTATCCTTCATCCATCTACCCATCTGCCATCACCCACTCATCCAGCATCCATTTACTTATCTTTCATCCCTGACCCATAAACCCATTCTTTCATCTATAGGTCATTCATCTGTCTATCTACCCATCACCCCCCCACCCATTGTCCATCTACTTATCCATCATTTCACGTATTTGCCCATCCATTACTCACTCACATATCTGTCATCTTATTACACATCCATCTTCCCATCATCCATTAACTCATCCATCATCATTCCATCCAACTATCATCCATCCACAATCCATCCATCATTCATTTAGAGTTCTTGTGAGGTCTAGCTGGGCACAAAGATGATCATATCCTAGCAGAGGTAGAATGGGCAGGCACATCAAAGGTGCAGAGAAGAAAGGCCTGGAGCAAGTGCCTTTGCCTGCTATGACAAGGTGCTACAGATGGGTGGCTTATCAACAGAGATTTATTTCTCACAATCTGGAGGCTGGAAGTCAACTAGCATGGTTTGTTCTGATAAGGGCTCACTTCTGGCTTGCAGATGGTCAACAACCTCTTGCTATGCCCCATGTGGAGGAAAGAAGGTGAAGGGTCTCTGTGGTGACCCTTTTGTTAGGACTACTAATCCCCTTCATGAGGGCTCCCCTTGCAGAGGTATTGGAAGGTATTAACATTACCATACACAAGGGGTCAGAACTGGACACATGAATTTGGGGACATACTAACATTCAGTTCACACAGGAGGCGAGCCTGCAAGTGGATGGATTGATAGGGATGGCCTGAGGAGAGAGGCAGCCCTGAGAGCTGGGGGCTGCCATGCAAGGAAAGAGAGTGCAGTACAGCTGACCAGGCAGCGGGCAGGAGGTTTGGCAAGGGCTAGTGTGTCTGTAGCAGAGAGGATAGGGAAAGGCCAAGATGGGAAGGCAGGAGGTGCCCAGGGAACCCAGACCTGGTGTGCAGGCAGGGAGACGAGAGAGACAACCAGATTGTCCCTGAAGGCACAGGGGGCTGGCTAACCATAAGGAAGGGCAGTCAGACCTCAGGGAAGGGGCTGGGACCACCATCCAAGGCCTTCAGCTGACAAGCTTTCTGACCAAACCAGCCAATGACACACTGTAATGACCCCTAAAGAACATTATCCCAGCTACATGGGTCAGCATTTGTGGGGTGGGTCCCAGTCAACACAACCAATTCTCACATGGGAAGAACATGGGGACAGCAGGGGTAGTGCACAGTCAGTGGTTCCCTAGCTACTCTGGTCGGCAAAGACCACAGCTTGTGCAGTCATCCAGGCAGGGAGACTGGCCAGGAGCAGGGCCATGCGCAGGCGGGATGCATGGAAGGTGGATTGCAGAGGACAGCTGAGTGGGAGTGCCAGGAAGGGCTGTGGCCACGGGGAGCTGTGGTCTGGCCGCTGGAGGAGTGTGTGGGTAACCCCAACACCTAGGGGACAGAGATAAGCGATTGCAGGGAGCTGGGCAGGACAGACCCCTTGGCACCTGTAGGACCTCTCAGCTGTGAAGCTGGAGGAGCCACCTCCTGGGTCAGCACCGAGAGTCTCCAAGGTCTTAGAGACCCTGGCCGGCTCTCGACACTGCAGGCGAGCCATGTGCAGTGTGGAAGTCGGCCTGCCGTGTCCTGGGGCACTGCCGTGCACATAGGAGGAGTTGCCTGGTCAAGCGGAATCTTTGGAAACTGGGGTGCTTGGACCACAAAGCACTGGGGATGCGGATGGTGTCCAGAAGGAACTCCTCCTGCCTGGCATGCCCAGGGTCACGTTCACAGGGCACCTCTGCCTCGTCAGGTGTGTCTGGATGACCAGGACTTGGGCCAGCCTGCTGCAGGAGGCCCTACCTGCACCCACGGGGGTGGCTCCACTGGCTTCTGGTGAACGTGTCCACCGGCAGGGAGGCTCAGCCACTACCTTTGACACCATGAGACTGGGGAGCCCCCCCATCCCTTCAGAACCTAGGAGCAGGACTCTTTGGAGATTCAAACCAGGAAAAGGAGAAAAAAACAAAATAATTAAAATGTCATTCAAATGCTAAGCAGATATGAGACACTTAAAAATCTGAACTCTTCCTGCTGGAGCAGAGGATAATGGTGCTCCTCCCATCCCCTCCTCCTGCACTGCAGACACCAGGGCCCCAGGGGTCTTCTTTCCAGAGTGAGTGTCAAAGGCACAAAGCCCGCTTTGAGCCCCAGGCAGCCCACAGCAGGGACAACCCAAAGGGAGCCAAGCGACCCACAGTTGTCCTTCCACCCTCCTGCTCTTGGCTTGGGAAGTGTGCCGGGCTGACAGAAGAAGCTATGGCCTCACTGTGAGCAGGGAGGGCACCCAGGCACTCCTCTCAGAGGTCCATGTGTCCCAGACCTGCTTCAAATATCCCGCTGCACGTGGGATGCCCCAGCCTCATGTACGGGAAGGAAAGCTGTGACTCAAGTGTGGCTCTGGACACCTCGTTCCTCTGGCTCAGCCCTCGCCAGGGTGATGGCGCCTCTGCCCAGGGGGCTTTGCTTCCCTGTAACCCTGCAAGCAGGTGTGGGGGCTGACACGGACACTGCCTCTAGCAGGATGGGGCAGGCACCCCCGCTCAGGCTACCAGGACCTCTGCCTTCTACCAACTGCCTGGTGTCCTGTGTCCCATAGCCTGTCCCATGCTTCTGTGGATGAGGGCACTGCTGCTAAGCAAAAGTGACCCATGGGTGTGCTGGCTCAGACAGACTCCCCAGGTCCAGCTGACTAGGGCAAATCCCAGGCCCCCAGAGCTCCCTGGCACCAAAGTGCTGGCACAGGATGGCACCGCTGGTACTCTGATTGCAGTGGACTAGGCCACCCACAGGCCACAGGTGAGCACAAAGCCTTCTGCGGGGAAATCAGCACAGTGCCTCCATCTGAGATAGCTGCTCCTGCACTCTGTGTTCTAAGGGACCTGAGGCCTGGACATGCGTTCTCATGAGCATCAGGGCGAGTCTACTGCCCGGCCAGGCTGCACCATACCAGCCCCTTGAAGGCTGCCTGGCTTTGCCAGAGCCAGAGGCACCACAGATGGAGCCAAGACCTGCCCCTGGTGAAAGTTCAGGGGCAGAGGGAGGGCCATGCACGTCCTGGATGCCCCGGGCCTTGAGCCATACGCTGGGCTGCACCAAGGCCTCCACATGATCCCCAGTCGTCGTCAGCCTGCTGGCCTGACCAGTGGGAAACGAGAAGGATTCTCACCACAGTGAGGATCTGCAAGACCATGCAGAGCTTTTGCTGCCTTGGACACGGCTTCTCTCCTGGAAGCTGCGCATCTCAGCAGGCCACCGCCAGGGAATTCACCTGCTTCACGTGGTGATTTCAACTTCAAAAGCCATCAGAGGTTTCACGTTCACTGTCCTTCTCTCCCTTTTGGGAAACAGGTGTGAGTGACAGAGGCCTACACCTGTGCCCCTAAGCGGCATGCTCGTGTGCAAGGGCAGCATGAGGCCAGCCAGAGAACCCTTTGGGTGGGAGTGTGCACTAAGAGAAATCCCTAAGACTGTTCTGAATGGGTTTTCTGCACCACCCCTGAATCCTGGAGACCCTCTAGGAATCACCTGACACCCACACACGGGAGCCTTTGATGAGGCGCTGTGAGGAGCGGCCAGACAG